CCGGATAAATTTTACAGTTTCAGGACAAATTACCCTTAGCTTCAGGAAATTTTCCAGCCAGTGGAGAAAGGCCTAGAGATGAATTCCGATCCACGATTACTTGATTTGTTTGATAATTTTTCATGAGATTTTTTGTCCGTGTGATGTAATTTCCAGGGAATAGGTTCTAGTAAACGAAAAATACCGGAGAGGTGGGCCGCACAGACCCGAAATTTTATCTCGAATGTATCGGATGGGACTAACCTGGTCCCCAACCGTTCTTTTAACCGGAAAACAAAAGAGCCATCGTATCAGAATTGATGAACCTAGGGAACTGGGGACAACCTGTTCAAGAGACTTTTGACGATGATAAACGGGCCCGAGTGTACTTCAGAGTTTTTGGAAATCATTTTACTTTTATCTGATACTACGAATTTTCCGGGGTAATCGAGGGAATGAAGCGGTGAAACCGGATTCATAGTGGCTTCTGGAGATATTTAATACAATAACGTGTGAATTGGAACAAAGGAAATAGGAAAAAGAGACAAAAGGGGATACCTAGAGAGCTACATCCTGATTAGTGTTGTCTGTCTTATCTTCAAACCCCGAGAGTCACGAAGGTAAACGGGTTTGGAACACTAATTGCTTGAGTTGGCTTGTGCGAGAGACTGGGAGAATGGTTTTTAAAATTGTGCGATGTCCAATCGTTGTTCCCTGCAGGTGTCACTTTCTTTTCAAATGTGAGAAATTTGGGAGAATTTTTTCATGACTTCTACGGGTTTTAAGGTGTTTCGTCTGTAGATCACCGGGGGGTGAAACGAAAGGCGAGTCTCATTGTTCTCGAGCCCTGATGCAATCCCTGAACACGGAAATTTTCGATTTTCAAGTGACTAATAATTTTGTTTTGTCAAATTGTTCGATTTTTTCCCACCACTTACAAGTGTCAAATTATACGCACTTTCAAGCAGGATTTAATTTATCATCCACTATTTTTTTGAATAGTTCATTATTTTTTTGGGAGATACAACAATTTACCTGATTGAAAGTATGAGGTCAGCTGGGCTTTATAGCTGGAGGGATTACAGAAATATCCAAATTTGATTTTTTTTTCGTTGAGACCAATGATGCAGCATAAAAAAATATACTTCAAATATTTCTCTCATGAATTTTTCAATTTTTTGCAGCCAAATGGAATCATTCGTCAAATTCGCTTGCATTCAGTGACTTAAATGCAATGAATTATTAAATTCAATTTGAAACACATCGTCATAGAAATTCCATTGGAAAGCAAATTGCTAATTTATTAGCAAAAATATATTGACTATGTTGTAATGAAAGCAATTTCCCACTTGACTTCATTATTTTGACTTTTGACACGAAAGACCTTGAGAGTGTTTAAGTGTTTAACTACAATATTCATTTAAAAATTTTAAATTAGAAAATATTGCTGTTTACTGATAGAGGAATTAGAGAAAATTTATGGATGATCAACATTACTTCAACAAAAATTTGCCACGAATTACTCTTTTTGAAACATTTTTTTACGAATCAATAACGGAAATTGTTCATAAATTCATCGAAAATGGGCACTTTTTCAATGATTTATGATTTTTTTAAATCACTCACATATTCCTGAAAATAAAAACTTTTTTCTTTGCAAAATTCCAGCCGAATTTTTTTAAAGCGTACAAAATTCTCAATCGTTCCTCGTTTTTCGTTCTGTCAAATCCTCTAAAACATTATTTTGGTAAAACTGTTGAAAATAGCGCAAAGTTGTCGGTGTTAACGGAGCACTTAGTGGATGATTGAGGGAGACAGTTATCTCGGAATGGTCGGCCCGTAGTTTAGACGGATTTAGATAAATCGGTTTGGATGTTCTGGCACTCAACACAACGACTGTCGGTCATTTCAACTAGTTGCTTTGGAGTACGTTGACTATGACGACGAAATTCACGTGAACGATCTCAGATCCACTGGATATTACACGCCTAAAGTGGAGGATTTATATTGAATTTTCGTGGAAAAACATAATAAGTGATGAAACACATTAAATGATTTTCCAATTTATCGTTACTCAGCCGATTAATTCAAACTAAATTATTTCGAGGGGACATTTTTTTAGAAAAAAATATATATTTTTTCCTCGTCAATGTATTCTTTGTATGGTATCAACCTGTGGCGTTCCCTCAGATCAAATGATTGTCGTACAATCGATTATATTTCTCAGAAATATTTCTGATGATCACGACAAAAATTTAATTTTTGTGAAAGACATTAAATTTCCGTCAACCAATTTAATTAATTTCCCTCAAGTAAATCTGTTCCACTCCATCAAATATTCTCACGTGAAACATACCGTTTTTTCCGAATTTAAGGGAGATAACGAAATTTTCGTTCCAATCTTTTTTGTAAAGCGATTTAAGGACTACAAAAAAGGTATTAATGAAATTTTTGCTAGCTTCTTTAGGTTTCGAGATAGTTACTGAAAAGTGGCCAATGATCAACATTGACTTGAAGCATTTTACCGCTTCACTACTGAATAGATATCAATTTTCTCTTTCATCGAGCGGATCTTTTGTATTTTCGCGTCGTATAAATATCAGCGACGTTAAGGATAAGATCTGGAGAACTTTGAGTTCTGCAGATCAAGAATGATAAATACCACAGACTCGCACTTCAGAAAATTGAAAAAATATCTTCATTTTTATGTAGAGTAAAGATAATTCCTTATCCTTATCGAGATTACCTGATTTCACTTGGCATCGTGTTTTACGCCAGGGTGTTGGGTATCATAAGTTAGGCCACTCATAAACGTGCATGAAATAGGAATGAATTATGGGCCCCATTATGCATCGGTCGTCGCTATAATCACGAGAATACGTTGACAAGATCTCTACGTGTATTATCCACTGGTTTAACGATCGACTGTTGTGAATTTCTGTCTAAAAATTGAACTGTTGCATGACATTGTTTATTACATGAAGTTATGAAACAAATAATGGAATGTGAAATGTTGAATACGTTTGTTTTTTTTTAATAATAAAAAATGGAGAAGTAAAAAATAAGAAAATTTGGTGTTTCATATTCTCCACTCAATTTTCGTATTCGAAAATCCCCATTTTTCCAGTGAATATTCATATCGAACGATTTATGAAATACGAAATTTCTCTATAATTTCATAACATGATACACTGTTAAAGGATTTCACCTGAATTTTGCGTGCCAGATTTCGTACATTTTTATCGTGTTCAAGTTGCGCTGAAAGTTCAGGAAATTTCGTCGTTGAAAAATCAAGTATTCCATTGATTTTCTGTTCATATGATCTGGAAATCAATTAAATACTTGATTTTTCAGTTCCATTATTCTGTGAAAATTCAGAAAAATCAGGAAAACTCAGAGATAAATTGAAAATTCATGTCATTTTGTTTCTGAATATTCATGTTCAACTGAACATTCAATCAAGTTGTGAAATTTCCATCTCACTCGCACTGAAATCTCATGAATTTCCGTGAATTCTACTTAAAACTTGGAATTTCATAACCATTTTTTAGGAATCGAATTCAAGTTATCATCGTCCTATAAACATACAGATGTAATAATCTTATAATCCTTTCTAAAAAAAAACATGGGCAACATCTCCAATCGAAAATGAGGACTCAAACATGACGGATATCTCAAATGAATGAGAACAGTAAGGCGGTTTTCATGAGTACAATCGTTTTGCGTCAATTATCATGAACCCGGCTACCAAAGAAAATAGAATTGAATGTCATTCTTTAAAATGTGAATAAACGAATCATAATTGTCCAGTTTTATAATCAGTTAGATCAGAGGAAAATAGAATAATTCTACTTTCTTAATATTGCGTTTACAAAGGTTTTCTTCGAACAAACTTGATTAGAATAAACAGCTAAATTTACGACATTATCTCACATTTTTTACGTTAAGGACAGGAGAATATGAATGCAATACAATGAATATGACGATCGGTTTCTTGACTTTGAACAAATAATATTAATATGAATGAAAAGAAGCTGCAACTCAATATTCCAAATTAAATTTTAATTTTTAATTTCATGCTGAAAATATTGAATTCCACAAATTCACACTCAATAGTGTTGTTTCAGGAGGAACTGAATTCCGATAATGATTAAAATCTCATACACTGAGCACATGAATTAGAACATGAGCAAATAATTTATTGCAATATGAATATGTAACAGCTAATAAATTGAGACATATGATTCTTATCGGTCCTTTAGCTGTTTCCAATGAGAATGATTATAAACAATTAATCGAAAAAAATTAATCGAGAAAAAGCGCACAATGAAAGGTCACCAACCCGGCTAGTACACAAAAAAAACTCTACATTTTCCAGCGCGACTACTCAAACCTCCATCCAACAATTTTCACCAGAATAGTATAAATTCATCTGTTGCATCTGGTCCAGCCTCCCCAAAATCCGGGCGGCTCACCCAGACTGCTAATCTCCCCACCTTGATCCCGCGATTCCCATTTCCCCCGCTGAAATTCTCCCCCAACAACCGCGAGATCCTCTTCCGGACTGTTACGCGGCAAGAAACCACTCGAAGTTGATTCATTTTTCCTTTTCCGTTTTTTCATCGCTACCCCAACAATCTGCCGATCTCATTGTTGTCGCTGCGACAATTAGTCGAATTAGTGCTCCCTCCACAAGCCCCTCCAGTGCCTCCGTGGCCAGAGAAGGCAGCGCAGTAAAAAAAAATTCTTTTGAAAAAAAAAAAAACAACCAGGAGAAAAAATCTCGAATGGTGTGTTGCACGGGCGTTGGATTATATCTCTCGGTTACCGATCCTCGGGGGTTTCCGTGACCCTTCGTCGTGTCATGGCGGATAAATAAGAGGAGTAGGGGAGCCATCCCCTCCCCAACCCACACGCCAGAGCAACTGTCGGATTCTCACCCCTCCCCAGAGAAGGAAATTGAGAGTGGGGATCGTCTCGGCGCTGTGCTTCAACCGTTCAATTGTTGGTCAACCGTCGGAGGGAGTGGTCGGCGTGTGTCACCATCCGCGTGAGCGCGTGTTTTTTTGTTACTCAGTATCGCATAAACCCACAATAAACGGATACACTTAACAACAATTCAACGCACCAAGTCCCCGTTCCCTGATAACTGTGACTAATAAAATATTGGGATTCTGATGAGTTGAAAAAAAAAATCGTGCGATTATTTTTCTCACTTTGAGGCATCTCTGAATCGGAATAATGTTTACGGCGACAAGAGTAGCGGTCAACAGTGACATGGTGATTAATTTTTTACGTTGAGTAAATATTACCGACCGGAAAATCATAGTATTTGTGCTAAATTCGGTGGTGTTAATCGCAGAAGCGTTCAGCTTCGATATATCATTTTTTCTCCTGTTCATTTCGCGGAACAATTTGACGGTACATCAGACCGTATATCTCAGTTAAACCGTGTGTGTGTGTCAGCCGTGACTCTATTTGGGATTATTATCATTTTATTTGGCTCACTGTGTGATACATTTGAATTACGGAACAAGGAGAATATACAATCATGACGGCAGACAGACTGTTTGAGACCACCAGCATCCCGGGGCATCTCGCTCCCACGCCAGAAAGACTTGAGCGGCTTCTTTCAAAACAGACTCTCGAGGAGCTCTATGAAGTTGAGGAACAGCCTTTCGCACGGTGAGTTTTGTGACTGATTTATGTTTATGTACAATGCCCTGGGTCTTCCAACGAATTTTCTTCCTTCTTCAACTGCTCCAAAATTCGCCGTAAAAAGGGCATTAATTTCGGGACAGATTTAACGACCGCGAGACGAGAAAAAAATCACTGCCCATGTGGCAATAATTTTTAATATCTTCGGAACTCACGTCAGCATTTTTTTAGCCAATAGCTCCTTTGGAAATTGATGGACGGATTATTTTGGGGGATTTTCATGAAAAATTGAAGATGAATGAGAAATGTTGAGCGTTAAAAAGGACATGATTAAACCGTGGAATTGAATTTGGACACTCCTTCTGGCAAGAGGCGTGTAAACCAGTATATAGTATTCGGGGACTCGGTCATCAGGCGGGTTCTCTCAAGAAGAAAGTGCCTCTGCTGAGGATATCGAGGTCGAGACGTTTGCGCTTGTGTATGGCATGTACATTTTGTTGCTCCTTTACGACCTCGACTCTTGGTTTTCGACTGTTCATTTCTTTTTTAAACGTAAAACAACAAGCAAAAGCAATGAAACTCACCGTCTTTTATTCGTGGTTTTCACCGTGGATGCACTCTCGGGTGCTTACCCAGGGATGGGATACCTCGGTAACCGCAAGGTCAGGGCCTGGGCCAGCTGCTCCGGTGGAGTTTCTGTGTGTGCAAATGGTCGCAGAATCGAATTCTAAAATTAATTTACATACCCGGAGATTGCAGCGAGTTCGATACACGGTAGTGATGGGTCACGGCCGGTGGTTCGACGGTGTCGGGGGTTTAAGGATATGAAAGCACTTTGACGATTTTTTTCGCCAGCCGCATTTTTTATGCACTTATAGTCGAACATTACACTGAGGAGAAAATTGTGAAGCTGAAACTAGCGAAAGATTCGACAGCAGAAGATTTTTCTTAGGCGAATATAGGGGTGTACAAATGATTTTAAGTAATGTACAAACTGTTTCGCACTTAAAAAACATTTGTACGTGCGATTATTTGAGTCTCCTACACTTGAATATCCCCTAAATTGAATTTCCCGCTGACGAATATTCTGCTAGTTTCAGCTTCATAAATTGTTTTTGCCATTTACACGTCTTATGCAAATATTTATATGTAGTTACTTGTGCCAAGTTAATATACTTGGCAAAAGCAATTTTCTTTTTCAGTGCAGAGCTGTCATTTGAACCCCATTTGACCTCAAGTTTCCGGGTGTTTTACGATGATTTTATTATTTAAACGTTGAGCCGTTGGAAAACACTAACATTCTGAAAAGAAATTGGAGAGTTTACTTTTGGGGGAAGATTGATAAAATGATTTGAAAATTGCAATTTTTGAAGAATTACGAGCATTTTCTATAAATAAGTTATAAACAATCAATTTTCCACCATCAAAATAACTTCTTCGGAATCGATACAAATTTATTCATATTCAGAATTTTACCAGAAATCGATTTCAAGCCTAAAAAAATTAGGTTTACAAAATTTTAAACAATTTTTTATTTATAAACAGAGAATGCTTAAAAAATTAGAATTCTGTTCAAAACATAATTTGAATGACGCTGAATATTGGCTGAATCTATAGTGTGGTCTGTACCAAACTGTAAAAGATACTTGGATATCCTTAAATGTAAACGCTTTAGTATTCGGGGTTTATGGGGTCTGTTACTTGTACAACGGTAACTATTTTTCAGCGGGGGCTTTGTTCGCTCGGATGGAAAGTATGAAAAAATTGAGCGAGGAGAGAAGGTGAATCGCATTATCTCGAACACCTGTTAACGTTGGAATTAGTCGGAGGAGGCAGGTGTCGATTCCATTCGGTTTTATTCCGTAAGGGATTAACTGTTTTATAAGCATTGGATATTGTACGCGAGTTGAAAACAAAATTGTTGGTAGATGAAAAAAATTGAAATTGCAATTTTGCGAGGGGAGATGCATGAACAGGCAATTGACGAGGGGAGAGATGCAGTAAAATACTTGATTTTTCATGCGAATTATTCCTTGAAAATTCAGAAAAATCACGAAAATTCAGGGGAAAATTGAAAACTCATGTCATTTTGTTTCTGAATATTCATATTCCACTAAAAATTCAATCAAGTTGTGAAATTTCCATCTCTTGAATTCTACCTGAAACCTGAAATTTCATAACCATTTTTCCCATAAATCCGATTCAATGTCCCTCTCATGAGAAAATATCATATTTTCTATAAAATATCAAAAAATTCCTAACAGTGCACCCAATAATTAAGACAATGGCCGCTAGATACATCTCAAAACCTGTCGTTCTCCATTCGCCCCCACATTTGGTATCTAAAAATTACTCCGGGTCAACGGGCTCGAGCCACAGATCCAATCCGCATCGATCGTTTATTCAACAATCGTGATCCATTGCCCGAGAATTCAACGCTCGTGACTGTTTCCATTTCTCGTACTGCTCTACTGAAAAGTGCAACGTTTCAACTTCTATTTTTCTCCCATTGTTATTTTTGTTTTCATTAAAATGCTGGCACTCTTTCGCCGTAGCCTCACTACACGTATAATGAGGGTCAATGGCGATGAGGGGAACTGGGTAAATATTATGGCTACATTGGCCTCTGGAGCGTCACTCGAAAATGTAAATAAATCCGATACTATGAGTTCTATTGATCGATCCGAGTCGTACATGCGGATTCATTATGTATTTTCAAAGACGTTTGGTGTAAAGGGGATTGCCCAGCACAAAGAAAATCACTGTTTCCGTTTTTTCCCTCCTTTCCATTGGGAACTAAAAAAAAAACGAAGTTTCCTTTTTATTTGTTGATACATGCGAACCCACTATTCTCTATTGCGAATCGCGACCGGTCGCGTTGCACAGACGCACATTGAATTTTAGTTATGTGCGAAGAAGAGAAGTGTCCGTGGCGAATGGCAATGTCAGTACGTGCGAGGTTATGATTTATTCATTCGACTGGGGTGATGCACAGGTGCAGGTTTATTTATTATTTTCATTTGAAACAAGTTATTCAATAATAGTTTCATTATAAAGTCATGGGGTTTTTGTGGGGATTTGAAATATTTGCGGAGAATCTTGAAACTTTCCCATGGGCGTTCAAGGTCTTGAGGGAAATTTAACATGTAATTAGTGGTAATTGTATTTCATTTTAAGGAAAGTTTTATATGAGCGGAGATATGTCGATCTATTGGTATTCCTTTCAACTTGGAAATTAATTCCTCTTGAATTAAAATTTTACTGTAATGGCTGTAGTAAAAATTACAATTTTTGTGTGGAATTTTTAATTTAAATACGGTAATTGTTACTTGAGTTTTCGTGAAAATTTCTAGAGTTCTGTCAGCCTTTATTTTTACTCGAATTTATTTGGGTATTTAATTTATTACTTTATCTACGATTCGTAGTGTTTCAGTAATTTTTGTTCGCTTTTCCCTGCATGTGAAAACATTTCCGTTTTGTTGCCAAGCGATCTCGAGAGATATATGACGGGAGAGTGATAGGAATACCGTGAGTGCAGTCTCGGAGGTCCTCTCTCCCTAGGTTTCTACTCAAGTCTGTTGTTATTTTGACGAGGGAAAAAGGTGCAGTACAGAGGGAAGCGCGGCTTTTGAGGGATGAATGGGGGAGTGGAATAAATAGGGCTTCCATGTACATCTAGGTGCCACTCAATTTTTGTATGAAGAAAAATGACAGAATCTCTGAATGGAAGGATTTTTCGAGAAATGGAGGGGGGGGAGGGGGTGTTTTCTGCATTCATTGTATGGACATATTGTTCGATCATTCAACAAATATGCAAATCATTCATAAATATCTCCGAAAAGTGTAGCCCAAAAATTCGTTGAAAATAGCATTGAATTTATTTATGTTTTTGGATGCAAAAATTAAGAAATTTCACTGTTCATCTGCGAAAAATTGAGCTACAAAGAGGAAAATGTAGATTTAATAGCATATTTCGTAGCCTTTTTCTATGCCCAGCGGAAAAAAATTATTTCTGCGAACAGAAAGATTTTTTCTGCAAATTTGAAAAGCTTTGGATAAAAATGAATAATTCACGAAATACATTGATCAAATTTTTTATAATCAATGATTGAATGTCGTAATGGACATCAACGGTAACAAAAAAGAATTATTTAACATGAGGTCAGAATGCCGGCTGTATTTGAAATTTCAAAGTTGTGAATTTGAATTTAATTAGAGATCACATCGTTTACAGAATTTCTTCTCCATCTTGAAAATTAAACATGGCATTCAATTGAAATATCACCAGATCGAGAATTCAGAACACTAATTGTCGAAATTTCCACACAATGAATAATTCGTCAATAACATTTGTGACTTTTTTTTTCAAATGCTAATATCTCATTGACTTTTGAATGAAATGAAATAATTTTTCCTTCAGTGGTAAAATTAATTGAAATGTTTAATAATCACTCATTCACATAAAATTTTTAAGGATTTTGTTATTGAAAAATGAGTTGAATTCTGCAGTTTTCAATGGAATTAGAATTTTCAGGTCCACATGATTTGATCTTAAATTGCACTCAAATTTATAACATTGAGAATTCAAGTGCAACTATTCCTTAATTAAACAAAAATTCCAACATTGTACATCGAGTTCAATCGATAAATTTATTCCAGAATTATGGACGTTGCAAAAAAATGCAAAGGTGTCCATTTTGCATCACCCTCTCCTAAATCTCACGTAAATTCCCAACTGTTGAAAAATTCTAAGGGTAATTTTCTAATAATGCACGTATTCTCAATGAAATTCCCAAAAATTTTATCATCTTAATGCAGATTTTAAGGAGAGGAGGAACGCAGGCTTTGGCGTGGGGTCGGAAATAGCCTTTTGGCCGGGCAAAGTATTCGGGTATCGCGTGGTATGCACTTGCGACGCGATATTTATACCCATTATAAAGTATCCCCGACCTACACGACTCGATCACCGAAAGTCACAAAAACGGGGGAAGGTAAATGTGCATTATGTGAAAAAGTGGATAATACGC